AATAATTACTAATAAATTTTATAATTTACATTAAATCCAATACTATTCAAAATATTTTATTTTGAACATTTTAGAAAAATTCATATTATTATAAAATACCATCACTCTTTTGTTGATAAAACTTAAAATACATTTAATAATTCAGATTTTGAGAATTACATCTAAAAATTTTGGTACAAAAAGTATAACGTTAAGTTAATACTTATCAGTAAATGGCAAATAAATTTTGTCTAATACTAATGGTTTTGCTGTTATAGCAAAAGTTATTTTACACATATAATTACATTAATCCAATACTTTGCTATAAATTAATCAAAATAATTATATTCCCCGGCTTCCACTTTATGGGATTAAACATGGGATTATAGCTTTAACCTATGACATAAATTTAACATGGGTAATTATTTTGTATGGGAATATTAAATATAAAAGAAAGGATATTTTTCTTTAATGTTAATCCAATGAGACAAATGTTAAATATATAGGAGAATGCTTGGATATGGGCTTCAATGGGTTTACAGCTAAAGTCTATGACATAGGTTTAATATGAGTAATGTTAAGTTTATGAGTAATGTTAAGTCTATGGAGTTAATGCTAATCCTATGAACAGTGTTATGTCTATTGCAATGCTAAGTTTATGGTAATGCTAAGTCAATGGGAAATGTTTTCTATTGGAGTTTTATGAAATTATGGCTTTAGTAGATGACATAACAACATATCAACAATAACATTAAAAAATTTTCAAAATACAAAGTTACAAAATAAAATTAAATATCAGTGAAAATTGAAAATATTCATTTGACAATGTTTTAAACATTAAATATTAAAAAATACAATTCTTTAACGCAATATCTATATACTATATATTATTTAAGTAATACCCCAATTGTGGTTAACGTATAGCATCGCTGTGTGTGAGTAATACCCCAATTGTGGTTAATGTATAGCATCGCTGTGTGTGAGTAATACCCCAATTGTGGTTAATGTATAGCATCGCTGTGTGGCCCTTGTTTCAGTTGTAGGAATACCCAATAACGTAATTTACATGCATAATTTTATTTCCAAAAAAATAGAGTTTTTAATGACAAAAAATGACTTAATTGATGAGATTAGTGATAAGCACTGTTAAAGCTTGAGTCAACGATGCATTAAATGAATTCATTAATCTTAGTTGTGATGGCACAAATTACAACACAATGAGTTAACAAAATTCAGGATGCTAAATTTGCCCTTAGTAATGCTAACTTAGCGTTAGAAAAAAAAATTGAAATTTTATGAGATGCATTTTTATACACATGCGAAACAATAATAAAGCTATTCATGAAATTAATTTTTTTAACGAATGAAATGCAAAACCAGTGAATTAAAACGTAATTGCAATAAAACACAAAACATTATCGGTTTATTAACAATACTTAAAAGCGGACGGGTCAGATGCCAGGATTGGATTTAATGACAACTTGATTACTTATTTTTTAAATAATTTTATAGTAAACGTTATTTTCATTTTGTCTTGTTAAATGCCGAGCAAACGATGTTTCTTTGATTCTTTGACTGAATACTATAATGTTATTTATTTATGTTGCACAATAAATACAATTGTATTAACTATAATCAATACGTGTCAATCCTTATTTAGAATCTTTTTATAATTGCAATCATTATATATTTATTATGTTCATAATTATAAAATAGAACATTACACACTTATCATGTATTAAAACGGCGATAAAAATGTGTTAATATTTCACAAAAGTTTAAAATAATTTGTCAACGATGCATTAAATGAATTCATTAATCTTAGTTGTGATGGCACAAATTACAACACAATGAGTTAACAAAATTCAGGATGCTAAATTTGCCCTTAGTAATGCTAACTTAGCGTTAGAAAAAAAATTGAAATTTTATGAGACATGCATTTTTATACACATGCGAAACAATAATAAAGCTATTCATGAAATTAATTTTTTTAACGAATGAAATGCAAAACCAGTGAATTAAAACGTAATTGCAATAAAACACAAAACATTATCGGTTTTTAACAATACTTAAAAGCGGACGGGTCAGAGGCCAGGATTGGATTTAATGACAACTTGATTACTTATTTTTTAATAATTTTATAGTAAACGTTATTTTCATTTTGTCGTGTTAAATGCCGAGCAAACGATGTTTCTTTGATTCTTTGACTGAATATTATAATGTTATTTATTTATGTTGCACAATAAATACAATTGTATTAACTATAATCAATACGTGTCAATCCTTATTTAGACAGAAAAATATTAACGTTAGTAATATATAAATAATACAAGTATTAATATTTTATCTTGTAATGTGTGAATAGTACATAATTTTGCCGCTATTTTTACACAATTATAAAGTGTTTTCAAATTTTATTAACTTCTGCAACCAATTAATGTTTATTTTTTAGAAATCAACCACTTGTTCGAACGACATATGTTNTGTTCATAATTATAAAATAGAACATTACACACTTATCATGTATTAAAACGGCGATAAAAATGTGTTAATATTTCACAAAAGTTTAAAATAATTCTTCTGCAACCAATTAATGTTTATTTTTTAGAAATCAACCACTTGTTCGAACGACATATGTTTAAAAAATATTATTTCAATTTGGTTTGATAAATTAAATTTATAATAACTGTAGTCAATATTAATGCGTAAGAATATATTAGGTATTGGTTAGGTTAGGCGTCATTCACAAATTACGTTTGGACTTTTAAAAAATTTAATATAATCATCCCTCCCTATTGTTTGCAATTTTTTAAATATAAAGTTTAGGAAAAGTACGCAATATATTATTTAGACACATAAATATCAAAAATATATTGAAAAAATTTAGGAAATTTACAAGTTTTTCATTTTTAAGTTGATCACTCCAATTAAAAGTCGGAAGATTGTCAAAGTTTACTGTGTTATTCTAACAGGTGTCCTAATCACAATTTTCTCAATTATCAATAATTTTCACACATCCAACTACAGGGTGTACATTATTGGACTAGACCATTACGAAGTCGAATATCTCGTAAAGTATTCGGTCTAGAAAACTAAATAATATATTAAAATAATCATCAACTGCGGGAGTTTTTGTTATGATATGGTCAATATGCTTGACCTCTTATTATAAAAGTAATCTCAAAACTACCAAATTTTTGCAATTTTGTCCGCACTCTCGCTAATGGTCCATTTTAACCATAATATAGTCACGTGACCAAAAATATTTGTATGTGAAAAATATTTCCGGTCATGGAACTATATATGTGTGAAGTGACAATATTGTCACTTCAGCTGTTCCCAAATGGTGATCAAAATCCAACATGCAAAAGTTTCGAAACAATCTTATTTATCTGAAATATTTAAAAATCATTAATTAACTAAAATCTACATGCAGCACAATAATTTTGATTATATATTCTTAAACAAGAGCAAAAATAACTTGATACCTATTTCAGGATTTTGCTCAAAAATAAGTTTGAATTTAACATTATGTCTATGGACAAAATGACAAAAATTTGGTAGTTTTGAGATTACTTCTATAATAAAAGGTCAAGCATATTGACCATATCATAACAAAAACTCCCGCAGTTGATGATTATTTTGATATATTATTTAGTTTTCTAGACTGAATACTTTTCGAGATATTCGACTTCGTAATGGTCTAGTCCAATAATGTACACCCGATACTTTTCATGTGGATCTGTATAATGTATTATCCTTATGCTATTCTCTTTCTCTTTTCTCCCAGAGGGTAGTTTTAAGATTTAACAGGTGATCCGATTTTATTAATTACAATTATAAAATTTTGAGAAAGTGGGTTTCGAGCAAGTAGGTTTCGAGCAAATGTTTACGTCCCTAGTGATCGTAATGCAACATAATATTTAAAAATTTAAAATCTTTTGATGCAGTTACAAAATTGTGGTTAACAAATAGCATCTGGTGTGATCCGTGTTTTATTTTATTGTTAACCTATTTAATGTCATTTGAAATTAAAATAAATATATTTAACATTATACGTATTTAGATCATTTATTTTTAATAATAAATTTACATAATTTTTAATCGAAATTAATATGCGATAACATGTTGGAGGTAATTTTTAAAACTATATAAGCCACTGCCTGTATAGGATTTATCATTTTATTAAGTTATGATAATTTCTTTTTATTGCAAATCTATTATTACATATCGTATTACAAGTGATAAGATTATACATATTAAATAAATTAATAAACATCAATTAATTATGCTTTTGAGAAGCAATTCTAGCGCTCATAAAATTTGTGTGTCGGGAATGAGCGGTCGGTTCCCTCTCTCAGACACTACCGATGAATTTGCCAAAAATCTTTTCGATGGCGTAGATATGGTTACCGAAGACGACAGTCGATGGCCATTAGGTATATTTCAATTTACATTTTTGTGTATTCAATTGAGAATGAGCTTATACAGATTTTATCAAATGTATTAATTATAGGCATCAAAGCAATGTTAATTTTGTAAATTTGTCACAGAACAATATATTTTATTAGAAATGTTAAAGTTCGGTTCAATAAAGCATTGAATCGTTCAATAAGGCATACAATACTTATATATAAATTTATAATTAATTTTTTTCTATGATTATTGCGCCGATTTTGCACAGGTGTAATGAATTTAGTAATAATTTCAATTGCTTTAATTTAGGTCTATTCAATATATCCAATCGTATGGGGAAAATTCATAGTTACCAGAACTTTGATAGCGGATTCTTTGGACTTATGGGTCAAACGGTAACAGAGATGGACCCACAGTGCCGTCTACTTTTGGAGGTGTCATACGAAGCCATTCTAGACTCAGGTATTTATGAAATTTATAAATTTAATATTAAATTAAATTTAAAATTATATACACCATAACCATTAATTGTCGACGCAGTAATTTCCCATAGAACTTAATGTAATGTGAATCAAATGTATTTACCCAAAAGTTAATAAATAGATTAATCATAATTAAAAGTTATTAATTTGTATAAAATATTTAATCAAGATCTAGATTAGATAGTTGGCTATAGTTTTCAAAAGTCATGTTTAATTTTGATCACGATTAGTTATCGCTCACGCACCGTAAATATTGTTAAACTGAGTGGACAGCTTGACTAGGTGATCACTGGCTAACGAATAACTTGCAAGTTTATATTCCGTTCCGTTCCAGATTTATAATTGAACCGCAGTCAAAACCAATAATTAGAAGCATTATGTAAAGTGTTTGATGTTGGTTTTATATCTAAAAATAGAAAGTGTGTGGAGGTAAATCATTAAGAATTATTTTAATTGATAGATAAATATCAAATCTATAAATTATATGATATAAATCTTCATGATAATCACTGGCCAATGCTAGCATGTCATCAACTCAACCGGTCCATTTAGTATAACACTATTTACGGTCCGGTGGCGATTGCCAATCGTGGTTAAAATTAAGCATGACTTTCGAAAACTATAGCCAACTAGCGAATCTAAATTTTAATTAGATATTATGTTTAAATCAATAACATTTTATTAAGATTAATATATTTATTAACTTTTGGATAAACACATTTAATTCACGGTACACTTAGTTCTATGGGAAACTACTGGGTCGACAATTGATGGTTCTAGTATACATATAGAATTCACAACCTATTTCTTACATCACTGTATGCTAAGAATGTCCTCTAGGTGCGTTTTACTATGAGCTTAGGTGTGTTTTACTATGAGTTTTACATAGAGTCATAGTTGTTTTAAGCATTCCTACTGTATGCCTTTTCGGTCGTTTACTATATCAATTATCAATCAACAAGAATAAATATATACAAAAGTGCAGCCACTGGAAGGTTAATTTAATGCTGTCCCGCATTACACCGTTAATTGCATTTAATCCAGCATTGAATTAACCTTTCAGGAGCGGGAGCTTTGTATATTACTTGACGAATAGACATAATTAATAAATATTCAAAACAAACCACAGGCGTTAACCCGCAATCACTACGTGGTTCAAACACAGGTGTCTATGTAGGCGCCACCACAACTAAAGCATCCGATGGATACCCGGATTACATTCAAGCGGATGTGGACGGATCGCTAGACATCGCAATGCATCAGACTTTGTTTAACTCAAAATATTTCTACCCAAATCGCATATCATTTGCTAACGACTTTAAAGGACCTTCACTTTTAGTAGACACTGCCTGTTCATCCAGTCTATCAGCAATGACAATGGCCTATAATGACTTGATGCTAGGTTAGATTGCATTTGGTAACATTATGTAAATTCAATATGACTATTTGGATAACCGTGTTAATAGGCAATACGGATGCGGCGATTGTGTGCGGCACTCATATGGTGTTTGAACCGTTTATAAATGAGTTTCAAGTGGAGTACGGTATTTGTTCGCCGCGCGGAGTATCCGCTGTGTTGGACGAGTCGGCCGACGGTTATGTCAAGTCAGAGGCCGTGTGCTGTTTGTTTCTACAGCGCCGTAGGGACGCCCGACGTGTGTACGCACAGGTCATGTCTGCGCGAGTAAATGTTGACGGAAAGAAAAAGATGGGAATGCTTTATCCATCAGCCGATGCACAGGAGCAACTTATGATACAGAGTTATAGGGTAGCTGAAATTGACCCTGCTCGTCTAACATACTTTGAGGCACATGCAACGGGAACCAAGGTAAATCACCATAATTTACTGATGATTCGTGTATTAAGTTGGTACGTTATATAAACGGTATGGTATATGTTACAATTTTATAATCAAGGTTGGTGATCTGCAAGAAATTAAAGCGATATACAACGCGTACTGTGATAAACGGACTGAGCCCTTGCCGTTGGGGGCAATGAAGAGCAATATGGGTCACTCCGAGGCTAGCTCTGGGATAACTTCCGTAGTCAAAGTGCTGATTGCTTATGAGAATGAATGCATTCCTCCAAACATTAATTTCAATAAATTAAAGGGAGAATTAGAGCGATATTTTCCACCACTACTGGCAGTTACTAAAAAACATCCATATAACCCTGGTAATATTTATATTATTTGCATAATTTGTATTTTCATTTACGGTAGATGTAAGGTAACAATAGAGAATTATTTTAAAATATAAAACATAAAATTAATAATATGTTTATTGCGAAAGTAAAAGGTGATAAGTATTCATCATTGAATGAGCATTGGTCATTATAATAACATTGATTACATTGGTATACTTTGGTATACTTATCACCTATTACTTTCGATTTACACATATTTTCACAATTTACAGTGTTACAGTATATTGTACATTATGTTTGGCTTCTAAACCTATAACCATATGTAAACTAATGATTGCAAAATTAAAATTTTGGGTATTGCTATAAAGAACAAGACTTAGTATTGTGTTTTAATATCAATATTGCCTATATTTTAAGTTTTGCAAATACTTTATTTACCAAATATTACGAATATGTAAATTTAGTATTTGTATTACATTTCTCGTTAATTTTAGTAGTATATTGCAATATATTATCTCTAATTTAAACTCAAACAAGTTTGTATAATAAATGCGGTCTAACCAGAAAAAAACATATCATAATTTGCACTATTACAAAATTATAAATCATTCAGATACTCATACAGTTTGAATTATTAGTTGCCAAATTGTAAAGTGTTATTCCTTTTTTATCACATACATTAATAAATCACTCTAATTCATACATTTCCGTTGATCAAACATACGATATATTGTTAAGAAAATATAACGTTTGACTTTCAAATATTTTCCTATAAAAGTGGTCACTATGTCCAAACCCACGGTTATATTACTATATAAAGTTTACCACTCGACTACATATTGAGAGAATTATCACTTCATAAAAATAGCTCCCGAATACACGCTATCACAAATTTTGACCATTTTATTTCATAATGATATTAAACAATTATTTAAGCTTTAAAACCATTTCCATATATTTAAATAGCAGATAACTACGTTAATTGTAACGATTATAGTGTATCCATAAATATAACATTATTAATAAAATTATCTATAGAGTTAGCATTACTCATATTAACCATATGTAATAGAGTTAACATTACTCGTGTTAACCCTATGTAATGCTAATTCTATGTCATAGACTTGATCTGGAATCCTATAAAAACCCAAGTTAAACTTCCACATGTTGAGTTTATGTAATATATCTAACGTGCGAACTATCTGATCTGATACCAAGATATCTTCACGGGTTGTTTTTATTCTAATAGAATCGAGCATAAACAAGGATCACACAGCGATGCTATACGTTAACCACGATTCGGGAAATGCATCAAAGATTTTAAATCTTTCAATACTATTGTTAAAATATTTTCACTATTATTATTTTGAAAATTTTAAATGTTTTTGACAACAATTAGTTTTGTTTGTCATGTCAGATTCATTTAGTATATCTCCATAGAAAAGCATTATCCCATTGAAATAACATTACTTCCATAGACTTAGCATTACCCATGTTATCCCTATGTCATAGACTTAGCATTACCCATAGACTTATCATTGTCATAGACTTAGCATTACCCATGTTATTCCTATGCCATAGACTTAGCATTACCCATGTTATTCCTATGCCATAGACTTAGTTATTTACAGTATTATTAAAATCAATTAAGCTATAAATAATATCGTTAAAAGATGAGTAGGCTCTCCCCTTCCCCCGCCGTGGGGGGGCCGAACGATCCTATAAACCACATTCTTCATATATGAATCGTGGTTAAAAATAATTTAGAAACAATATTTTTTGCTTTAACTTATCCGGGGGGCTGTGGGAGGCGTTTGAACACTTGAGATGCATAGTGTTAATGCATAGACGGTGCCCCTGCAATGTGCATCCGCTCTGCACACAGTATGCATTAACACTATGCATCTCAAGTTTTCAAACGCCTCCCACATCCCCCTGGATAAGTTAGAGCAAAACATATTGTTTCTAAATTATTTTTTATGCTCTATTCTATAAGAATAAAGAAATCCATTAAGATATCTTGGTCACAGATCAGATAGTTTACTTGTAAGCTGTAATTCCATGAAAAATCCCACGGCGGGGGAAGGGGAGAGCCTACTCATCTTTTAACGATATTATTTATAGCTTAATTGATTTTAATAATACTGTAAATAGGTTTGGCTGCGGTGAACAACTTTGGCATCGGAGGTGCGAACGCACACGTATTGCTCGAACCCAACAATAAATTGGGAACCAGTGATGGCTTTTTAATCGCGGAAACGATTCCCAGAATTGTAAACATTTGCGGCCGAACTGAAGATGCGGTCAAATATGTGATGGATTTCATACAAAACAACCCAAAGAAAGTGACGAATGATTTTTTGGCACTTTTGGCACCAGTTATGAGATTTACACCCGATATTAATTCAGCCGGAATGCCGTTCAGAGGTATTAATTAAGGATTAATGCATTTATTTTAATAATTATAATATAGGATCAATGATAATATCAAAGACATCGGACGCAACCAATGAAACAAAATATGGCTATAATAGACAAATAAGAGAAATTACAGACAAAACTGTGAGACCTTTATGGATACTGTTTCCGGGTTTGGGCGGACAATGGCCTGCAATGGCTAAAGCTTTGATGCCAATCAAGATATTCGCCGATAAAGTGGAAGAATGCCATCAAATCCTACATGAATTCGGTGTCGATTTAAAACACATGTTGTTATCAGAAAACAAGACATCAATGACTTCAATAACATCAAAGTTCTGTTCGACGACTGCTATAGAGATAGCATTGTTTGAAGTGATGAAAGCGCTGGACATCACACCCGACGGTATAATTGGACACTCGTTTGGAGAGATAGCCTGTGCCTACGCAGACGGGTGTCTCACCACAAGGGATGCAATGGTCGTCACGTACTTCAGGGGAGTCGTCACTGAAAATGATAATAAAATACCCAAAGGATTAATGGCTGTCATCGGGCTGTCCAGTGATGAAGCCATAAATGTTTGTCCTAAAGGAGTATACGTTGTCTGTAATAATGCAAAAGATAGTGTCGTTTGTTCCGGTATTTTCATAGTGTAACAAACATTTTAGAATTAACTCGTTTAAATAATATTTATTTTTAGGTTCAATGAATGAAATGAAATCATTAATCAACACATTAACCAAAAGTAAAGTATTTGTGCGACAGTTAGAGAGCAGTGAAATCCCATTTCATACAAAATATCTGATCACATCTGCAAAGCCTTTGATGGAAGCCATTAAGAAATATATACCAAACCCAAGACTCAGGTCCCGGAAATGGGTGTCCACTTCACTCATGACTACCGATCCCAACGATCAGGCTTTGAAATACGCTTCGGCCGAGTATTTCGTATACAATCTCCTAAATCCGGTACAGTTTTATGATAGGCTTAAACATCTGCCTTCGGATGCAATTGTTTTAGAATTAGGTCCGCATTCAGTGTTCGGCAAAATAATTAACGAAACACTCAACAAGTGTATTTATGTTTCGCTAATTAAAAAAGGTTTAAACGATACCAATCTGGGAACGCTATTCAATGGATTAGCAAAGTTATATGAGGCGGGCGTAAACATGTCAGTTGAAAACCTTTATAAAAAAGTAGAGTGGCCGGTTGTACGAAACACACAATCAATTAGTTCTATCATTCGATGGGAACATAAACAACAAATTCCTTTTAATTTATACCCTAAAAAATATAACCGATCGACTGCTAGTGATTACAATTTTACATTTGACCCTGTAAATTATCAAAAAAATAAATTTTATTTGGACCATTGTATTGATGGTAAAGCCATATTCCCAGCGGCAGGTTATATGACACTCGCGTGGCGTATATTAGCAACTAGTTTGGGTCGTCACTGGTATGACGTGCCTGTAGTGTTTGAAAACGTACAATTCAAACGACCCGTTTTTTTAAAAGAATCGGCTAAAACTGTTTTTACTGTGAGATATTTTGCAGCAACCGGTTTGTATTAATAGTTATAATTTAATGAATAATAATAATGTCAAAATTAAATACGATATTTTCATTCTTGCATATTGTTTCTATAGACGAGTTCTGTGTGTTAGAGAGCGATAACATTTGTGTTGTGGGGAAAATGCGGACTCCGGACGATGAGGTGTTACTCACGCCTAACGCTATATTTGACAGACAAAACCTGATGGTAAATATTGAGAGCTCACTAGACAGGGAAGATATTTATAAAAAGTTGGGAGTCCTGGGCCTCGACTACGGACCGCACTTTCAACGCCTTAAATCGATTCACACCAACGATTTTCGCGATATTTATGGAATCAATGAATGGGACGGAAATTTAGTCACGTATTTGGACGCAATGATGCAGACGATAATATTTCTTAATCCTAATAGTTTTATAATGCTTCCGGTGATGATCCGTGCGGCTCGTGTGGATCCTCGAAAGCTATTTAATGCTCTAAGGGTGAGCCATAAATTAATTCGCCATGATGATGTTGATGACACATCTAAGCAATCATCTAAGTTGGAAAGTGTAATATCGGACAATGAGAGCGCTCAATATCAACTAGAGTTAAATAGCGAAACCAATCGGTTTAATCACAGGTTCTGCATATTCTCTGCTGAAATGCCATTTTATTTCAATAAAAAAACCAAACGATTGGTAGCACACGGCTTGGAAGTAGAAGGACTGATCTCTCATCCAATATTGCGCCGCACAGAAGTGGAGAATCTCGTATTAGAATCGTATGATTTTGTTAAAAATGTTGATCTAAATGCTATTGATGAAAATGATTGCAATGAAGTTACAGAATATATTAAGGTAAACATATATAAAAAACATCAAATAAACGCTATACAGTAGGGATTGAAAAATTACTATTTTTGAGTGCCGTTGCCACTAAAGTTTAGGACACTAAGTGCCGGTGCCTTCCAAATGCCGTCAGTATGTGTTGTGCCGGTAGTGCCGTTAATACCGGTGGTGCCGGTAGTGCCGCTGCGGATAGAGCTTCTGCAAACATTTTATTTGTCACATACTAAATGCGTAATCATGTTGATTTATTCATAAATATATATTTTATAACAAAACATACTTAAGTAGTAATTCTTTTGATTTAATTATAGTCAAGAATGTCAACCATTTTTAATTAAATTCTTCGGTTTAGTGCCGGTATAATGCCGGTAGTCAGACCTAATGCCGTTGCCGTACCTGTGCCGCGGCACCGGTACACATAGTTCAATCACTAATGTACAGGTATTCATAGCAGGCTAAACGATCATACAAACCACATAGCTTAATTGTGGTTAAAAATTAATGTAAATATAGTATATTAATGATATCATATCGATAGAACTCGTTTTTCAGTGCAAAAAAAGTAAATTTAAATTATGCTACTAATTTTGTAATTATAATTTCATGGATAGATATACATTCTAATTAGTGATGTTATTTTACGCATAATATTCTTTTCAATTTTCCGTAACATGTAATATTACAAATAATGAAACTTTTAACCAAATTATACAATTAGTAAATATTAGTGTTAATTAACTAAAAATAAACTAATATTTACATATTAATTACATTCAGTACACTTTAATGACAAAATATTAAATATATCTTCAAAATTGTTGTCCGATTCATAATTACTAAATTTTGTTATAATTAAAGCACTTGATGGCAAACAACAGTTAATAGTCATTTGTATATTACATTGAAGATTTAAAACATACGGTGATTTACTTGTAATTTAATGTAAATTCCGACCGTAACATATATAATTAACATTACTTATTGATAACACTAATTCAAATACATTTCAGTACATCAATAACATTATATTATAATTATATCTATGAATATGCTGATATAGTACAATTGTTTTTAAATTCATTTGGCCTTATTTATTAATATATTGTATATCAAATAGGTTTGCAAATCCATGGCTGCTAATGTATTAAATAAGATTGAATTCAGAGTAGTGAAACTTGATTGTAAAAATCAAAATATTGACGAGAATTTAATATATGAGTATAGGAATGCAAACAAAGAAAATTATGTTTTGTTTCGCATTTTTGATAAAATGCTTAATGAAACGAATGATGAAAACAAGAAAAATATGGAAAACACATTTACCGAAATTAGTAATAAAGTGGAACACGATTTGAGTAAAGATATAATAAATCAGATCGAGAAGAATGAACGACTCATCCGATCGCTCGTTGATATCGTTTGCGAAAACTTTATAACAACTAATGAGTTAAAAGTGACGGAAATAAACATGACACCAGGCGTATTGGCCACAGAAGTTGAACAAAATATCAAACAATTCAAAATCATGCCCTTTGATGTCGATTATAATCTTGTGGTGAACTCAAAACAAGATATTCTTGAAATCTATAAGAGTAAATCTATAGAATGGGATCAAAAGGACAATATTTTATTACATTCTTCGCATTTGATTATATTGAGAGACACACGAGACTTGTGGCAAATGGATTTGCAGTCATTTATTCAGGACATCGTTGATTCCCTTCAACCACATGGATTTTTATTATCTGTATTTCGGTATAAGTTCACGGAACCGGAGATTGCTTTAATGTATTTGACAAAACAATCAATAATAAACGACACCCAACTTAACGAACGAATTCAAAAATTTATGTCAATTTGCGGTGAATTAGGTCTGAATCTAATATGCAATAAATCTGATTCCATCTCAACTCAAAGCATTTTATTTAGAAAAGTTGTAAATAATTACAAAATCCCCGATAAAAATAAAATAATTAATATTAGCGGTGATTATCAGCGATGGTTTGAATTATTAAAGCAAAACATTATTGCACAACATTTTGTTGCAATAGTGCAAAAAGATGCGGAAAATAAAACAGATAATGTATGGCTTGTGGCAAACGACTCGTGTATTAATGGAATCATAGGTTTAATGAATTGTTTGCGATTAGAACCGTACGGAGGGAACTTTCGTTATATCTTCCATATGGATACCAATAGTGTCACTAACATTGACTTCAATACAAAACCCTATTCTGATATATTGGCCAACGATTTGGTCGCCAATGTCATTAAAGGGGGAGAACTGGGAACTTATAGACACTTTAAACTTCCCGCAGATTACGATAAAATGGAAGCAAATGAATATCATTTAAATTTCGGACAAATTCGTGATTTAGCTTCTCTTAAATGGTATAAGTCTCAAAATATTCCTGAAATCAACGAATCTTATTCATCAAAAAACACAAAAATAATTACACACCGAGTCAATATTTACTATTCCGGCTTGACATTCAGGGATATAATGTTTGCAACAGGTAAAATTCAATTTAAATTATAATTTATACAATTATTTGACTACTTTTAAGATACTGTGTTTGATATTTTAATTTATACAAAACATTTTTAAGATAGCATAAAATTGTTAACATTAAATTTTAGTTTATAATATAATTTATTGCAAATTAATTTGACTGATTATAACTAATATTGTATAAGTGATTATACCTGATTATATGCACTAATATATATTATTAGCTAAAATTAAAATATTGTATATTTCAATACAAATAACAGGTCGTATGCCAATTCGAGATGATGATACGTTTTCCGATTGTGTTTTGGGCTCTGAATACGTGGGCCGTAGGGCCGACACCGGGGAACGTGTCATGGGTATAGAGTTTGGCCGCACGTTAGCAAACTCAGTTAAAGCGACCGATAAGTATATGACTACTGTTCCCGAGCACTGGTCAATGGCAGAAGCGGTTACTGTTTTGAATACATATAGTACTGTTCACTACGGGCTCATTAAAAAGGCTAATGTAAAAAAAGGTTTGTAAATATATTAAAATTATATTAATACAGTGCAACCTCTCTTGGGGGAACTTCACTTGAGGGAACCCCTCCTTATAGGGAACTGTTGAATTGGAATTTATGTTGGATTTTCTATACTTATAATGTTGAAATAACCACTCTTAGGGAAACATCTCCATAAGGAATACTTCCACTCCCCATAAGGCACAAAGATATTCATAAGCACATGATATGTAAAGTCCTTAAAATATTCTTAAATCTAAGACTTTAAGCAAATAGAAAACACATTCATTCAATACTAAGTTGTAAAAGTTGTGATAAACACTACATTCATAGTTTGATTGGTGAATTATTGTTTGCACAATTGAACAAAATTAAGGCTAAAGCATTTAATTGTCATTTTAATACATCTAAAATACTGATTATTTTCAATAATTGCTATTATTAAAGAACATTATCAAATATTGTTTAAAACTAAAACACTTTTAATCTAACCTCCCTTGGAAGAACCCTCTCTAGAGGGAATACTTTTGCCGAGCAACTGTCCGTTCCCTATGTAGAGATTGCACTGTATTAACATAATACTATCGTATTACGTCGCATTTAAGTGCATGCACTTATATCTGAGTTTATAAACAATGTTATTCTATGAATAATGTTAATTTTATGGGAAATTATTTTCTGTGGAAAAACGAAATATGAAGAGAAAAACTAGTTTTTCTTCATGTTAATTCTATGGGACTAATGTTAAGTCCATTGGAAAATGCTTTAACATAGGTTTTTATGGATTCACAACATTAGTTTATGGCATAGATTTGATAGGTTAACATAGGGAATGATATGTTAATGGGCAAATGCTAATCCTATGGACTAATGGTGAATGTGTAAACTATTCTTTCAGTATCACCCGAATTGTGGTTAACGTATAACATCGTTGTGTGATCCTTGTTTAAACAATAGTTAATATTTTTTTTTAGGAATGGAATTTAGAGTTTATTTATTTTAATATTATAGGTTGAAATCATACCTGTATGTATGACATCCGTCACATTAATTTATATAATTTTTATAACGAATTTTGACAAATAAATTTTAATGCACTTATATGTAATTTTTACACAAAGGGTGCACTTATATCCGGATATAAGTGCGAAAATTTTGGTGACATGAGAAATCTGTGAAATTTACTTATAAGTTCACTTATAGGCGGCGTAATACGGTAATAATTTTTTTTAACATTATAGGCGAAAGTATTCTAATACACTCTGCGGCCGGAGGTGTGGGTCAGGCGGCAATCAATGTGTGTAAACACTATGAATGCGATATCTTTGCGACGGTCGGGACGGAAGAGAAGAAACAATTTTTGATAAATGAATACAATATACCGGAGAATAAGATATTCAACTCAAGAGATATACTCTTTAAGATTCAGATAATGGATGCCACGGACGGTAAGGGAGTCGACGTTGTGTTGAATTCACTGACGGGTGAAAAACTAAGCGCCGGTTTTGAATGTCTGGCGATTAGCGGACGTTTCGTAGAGATTGGAAAGTATGATATGATTCAAAACAAACAGTTAGGAATGTATGGCTTTTTTGGTGATATGGAATTTATCGGTGTTGCTGTTGATGCTGTTATTTTAAATGACCATGATTATTTACAAGAGTTTTATGGATGGCTGCATAAACATTCAATGAACGGTTGTGTAAAACCATTGAATTACAAGTGTTTTGTTGCCAAAGATGTGGAAAAAGCTTTCCAATATATGGCAACCGGTAAACACATCGGAAAGATTGTCATCAAAATGAGAGACGAAGAGATGGAGAGAAAGTCGGTTATGAAAATAAAATCGGTTCCCAATCGTTTGGTAACCGTTAAAACATATTTCAATCCAAACAAAGTCTATATAATAACCGGAGGTTTGGGTGGTTTTGGTCTGGAATTGATTCCATGGATGCAATACTCCGGCGCCCGAAAGTTTGTGGTCACCTCGCGATCAGGTCTTAAAACTAAATATCAAAAGTTTGCTTACAATCGCCTCAACAATATGTCAAACGAATACAAATTTTTTGACTCTCAATGGATTGTCTCCACTGCCAATGGATTTACAATTGAAGGCACAAAACAACTGTTAAATGAAGCCAAAGTGTTGGGCCCCATTGGAGGGATATTTCATTTGGCACTTGAATTGAATGATTGTTTGATAGAAAAAATATCGTTTGAAAAGTTTTGTTCATCTATTGATACGAAACACAAGATATTTGCAAATCTGGATCAACTGACCCGACAATTAGATTATAAATTGGATTATTTTGTAGTGTTTTCGTCTATAGCTTGTGGAAAAGGAAACGCCGGGCAATCGAACTATGCGTTCGGGAACTCCATGTGTGAGCGTATATGTGAAGAGAGACGTAGGGATGGTCTGCACGGACTCGCCGTACAATTCGGACCCATTGGTGATGTCGGAGTGTTTGCGGACTCTTCGGATCAGTTATTAATGATGTCCTCATTGAGAAAACAGCGCATCAACTCTTGCTGTGATGTTTTGGATAAATTGTTAGCAATTAAACAAACGATTGTCACATCACATGTAAAGCTTAATATACAATTTAAAATATTCTGCTAACCTATAAATGCTTGAAACAGGTTAAAGTCGAGGTAAATAAAGAATTGATTGGAAATCGTGGCAAAAGTATTGTGAATATGTTATGGCGATCTTTAGGCATCGATCCTAACAATACTCCCAATGATCTAACTCTTGGCGAGATTGGCATCGAATCCATGTTTGCCGTTGAGTTGCAGCAGGAATTTGAGAGGGAATGGAATCAAAGTTTCCCGTTAATGTTTATAAAAAGTATAACGGTAAGAATGTTGAAAGACTACGATGCTGGAAATATGGTCGATATTAAAAAACACATTGATCATATTAAGAAAGCCAGGGATTGTTTTCTAAAGAATAAATTTTTGATTCCAAGCGAAACATACATTCGGCTAAACAATGTTTGCTATGGTGTGCCCGTGTATTTTATGCCACCCCTATTAGTTAGTTTTGCTGATATGGAGGAATTGGCAAATAAGATAAATCGACCAGTGATTGGCATTAATTGGACCCGAGAGTTGAGTGAAATGACCACTTTTAAAGACATGAACCAATATTATGTAAACATATTGAAAACTCTTGAGCCGAGCGGCCGATGCGATATTGTGGGATATTTTGATAACAGCATTGCATGCGTTAAACTAGTGTTGAAAGGAATGGTAGGGAAAGCCATTATAGTGGATGTCACTGACAGCAAACACAGCGAGCCTATAAGCGATACTACAATCATGAATTTTATACTAGGTTATATAGCTAAAGATTTGCCAGAATCGTATCATGGTAAATTAATTCGTGAATTGAAACAGGAGTCGGATGTGAAGGCAAAAGTTAGATACATAGTGAATGAAATGATAGAATTTGCCGGTAAAGGACTGGTGGCTACAGATATGGAGGAGATTTTGCACAAAATGTTTGACAGAATTCGTATGTTTTCGACATATCTTTCGTCAAAAAAGAAAACATTTGCCAATCGTTTGAAACTAAGAGTTGAGAATAAGGACTGGTGGCTACAGATATGGAGGAGATTTTGCACAAAATGTTTGACAGAATTCGTATGTTTTCGACATATCTTTCGTCAAAAAAGAAAACATTTGCCAATCGTTTGAAACTAAGAGTTGAGAAGAAGTGGTCGGAAATATCGGGAAAAGTGGTTATTATTAAGCCTTTTGTGTTTGAATCGGTTAAGGATGCGGACAAATTCGCGGAGATGTCACGTGAAAAGTATTTCCTACCAAATGTAAATTTTGTTTATTTATAATAAGTTTGTTATTTAAATATATACATATGAATGCATATTTCAAAAACAAAAGAGAGAGAGAGGTGTATGCAATTAATATAAATTAGTAACATTATATATATCTTCAATATTAATTGAAAATGATCGCAAAAAATTTGTTATTATTATTATTATCACAATATAATTTAATATATTTATAATCAATTATGACCAGGATTCAATCGATAATGTCTCGGTAATTAAAGTGGACAGTGCTTCAAATTCCATTGATTTCGCACATTCAATGATTGCTGACAAGATTGTGGAAGAATTACAATAATCAATAATTATAATTAT